TTTATAGTGTAGAACAATGGCACATTAGTTCTTCTTCCTTTTAGAACTTTCTTACTATTGGTAGAAAAGGTTTTTCTTAATTTTTTGATTACTAGAAGTTGAGTTTTTATTTGAAGAGAAGTATTAATAAAAAAAAAAAGAAAAGTAAAGATAACCTTGAAGTTTCCTTCAAGTTGATTTGAAGAAAGGATTAAAACTTTATGGAAATAGCAGCAGGGAGCACGGGCAGATTTTTTTTTTTTATGAGTGCATTTTTTTTTGTGTTTTTTTACCCTCCTTGCCTGCTAGTTTTTTTAGTTTTAATCGGTATATTCTATAGCAATTTTTGATACATGTCAGAAATCGATATTCAGGATCATGCTCTAGAAAGGGTGTTTTTTTACTTTTAAAACCAGCCTCTGGAAGCCCTAGAACTATAATTTGTTTTCTTGATAGAGCAGAGCGATTTAAAACTTAAGAATTGTAATTTGTTTTCTTGATATAGCAGGGCGATTTAAAACTTAATAATTGTAATTTGCTTCCTTGATTAAAAAAAAAAACACTGAATACCCTTAAAATTTATATTAGTTATTGTATAGCTATCTAATCTTTAACCGCCCTTTAAATATCTAGAAATCTATTTTGCTTTCTTGACTAGCTTGAGTCTCCGAAATCTTAATTTTAATAACAAATAATTTATATTTTAGGCCCACCTGGAAGGTTCTGATGCGAAGCAAAGCGGATCATTGGTTATCATTATAGATTTCTTACTTAGTTGAAGTTTCTAAAACTTGATTTAGATAACAATTAATTTATATTTTAGGCCCACCTGGAAGGTTCTGATGCGGAACATAATGGAGCATAGTTAACTGTTTAGTTTTCTATTAATTAATCTTAAGCCCTCGGATCAATTTCCATTGTAGGAAATAACTAAGCTAGGTTACGGCATGTGGGATGTGTTTTCTTTTATAACCCGTATTCAGTAACGGTATTTGTATACCAAATTGGTGACCATGTCTGATTTTCGTCACTGAACCACATATGACATAATATATACCGGGTTGGCAATCGTGGCTGATTCTGTCATCAGATCACATATATTCAATTGAATACTGGTTTGACAACTATGACTGATTTCTCACATCACTTGAATATCAACTGTGACCGTCGACCCACATGCGACATAATATACAATGGGTTGATAACCTTGACCGATTTCTGTCATTAGGTCACATGTGAACGATCGAATGCTGGGTTGGCCTTATCGTAGGTTTGACGATTAAAATGTGGTTTATGCATCATTTGTGGAAGCAAAAAAAAAAAAAAAATAATAATAATCGCGTGAATGTTGTCGGGTATGTTATCGAGTATTGCTATAGGGTATGCTATTGAATACGTTATTGAGTCATACTATCAATTATGCTGTTGGGATGCATTGCGTAATTGCTATTGATATATGCTAGATGTGTAAGCATGTTTATTATATAAACCGGATATGCTATCAAATACGCTATATATATGTTAATATCAATTGTCAGGCAATCTGCGAAGCAGGATATAGTGTGTCTATATAATGGCCAACTTATTTAGTTTCTAGCTTTAAGATCACAGAACGAGAAGGCGGGTTATTGTGAGAAGTAGGAGAAGAAGCGGTATTCTTGCTAAGCTGGCGAGAATAGAACTTCATAACATAAAACCCACCAGCATGTTTTTTACATAGTCCAGGTTCGGCACTAGTAGGCTTACTACAAACTTTACACGGGAAACGTTTTTTAGATCTCCAATGTTCATGACAACCTTGAGGTCGTCGACAACCACGTCCACAAATTTCACCAGAGTTATGCAAATAATCACAGATATATTTGGATCTATTTTGTTTTATCTGTTTTTTAGATACGATTTTCTTGGGTTGAAATGTAGATAATTCACCTACCTTCATATTGGTTTCATCGTGAAGAATCTTAATTTTTTCGGACATGAGTATTCTTTATTTAAACAAAAGATCTGATTAAGTAATATATAATGAAAAGTACAATATTCAAAATGATAAACCATAATAATATCGAATCAGCTTGATTGAAGTGATTAGAGTAGCATATAGTCAAGGAACCAAAAAATGACAAATTAGGATCGTCATATGTAAACTATCTTAAGACTTTACAGTGAAAAAGGGATCCAGAAGATCATGTTAGATATGTTGCAAAACAACGTACTCAAAATGAGGAAATATATAATGAGAGAATGGCAGATTTTAAAGATTGGTACAAAATAGAGGTATATACAAGTTTAGAAAAATTATATAAATTATATCTTGAATTGGCTAGCCAAGAAGAAATTGTAGAAAAAAGATCCAAGGAAGAAGTAGATGATATTCTTCAAAAAATCCATGGTCTAGACTTTAATACTGTTTAAGGATCCATTTAGGTGGGTATTCAACCTTGTCAACTTTCATTAATTGTTCACGAACAAATGATCTTTCAGGTCATCACCATTTTCATCCATAAGCCAGTACAAAACTGACTGATTTTTTTGTATTAATGATTCTTTAATACGATAAACTTTGGGGACCAATTCATATCTGTAATCCTTTTTCGAACAGGTCCTTATTCTAATTCACCAGGTTCGAGTAAATATAAAACAGAATCTCTATAAGTTAATCTAGGTTCATTAAACCCAATAGGTCTTCGATGTTTTACTGAAGGTTTAGCAAAAATTTTTTTACCTTTCAATGCTTTCTGTACTGCCTGATTAGGTGACATACCAATTAACCGAGTAGGAGTATCATTATAAATATCATCATTAATACGAAGGCCTTTAACCCAAGATCGACATCTCTCAGAAAGAGGTAAAAGAAAATCGACTGCATCTTGACGAATATAGGCATGTTTTCAAATTCTTGATGATCCCATTTAACAATTGATGTACTACGTTTAGATTTAGCTTGTATAATTTTTACACCATGGCTAAGTAATAAATCTCTACATTCGCCTAAGTATTCAGTGCCTTTATCTACAATTAAAACTTTTGGCCATGTAAGATGATTATTAGGATTGGCATATATTGCTTTAAACATTTTAGCCAATGATGTAGAAGACTTATTAGTTAAAGCACAACTTTTACGAAATCTAGTTGCTATATCTTTTATAACACCCCTATGCTTAAAAATACGATTACTAATCTTATCAAGAGAAAGGGGTATAAGATCCGATTTATGTACTTCATTTAAATCATGAATTCCATTAAAAGAAGCAAATTGAATAAATTTCGGTCGAGGTTTATGTGTCAAAAAAGTAATCTTAGTATTTAACCAATTTTTTATGTCTATTATCGAAAATTTGTAACCAGCCTTTTTGCAGGCATCAAGCATTTTTTCAGCTGTCCGATAATAACCTTCAGGTCGATAGTATAATTTTTGTAAAGCAACGTCCCTGTCCAAATCACGAGCTTTTTGTGGATCTATGTAAATTACGGGCTTATTCATAACTTTTATTAAAGCAAATAAAATATGGATGAATTACATCAAATTAATCAGGAATTACATGAGGAGCCTAAGCGATTGGCACAATCAAATCAAAAATATGAGCAAACAAATTACACTCTCGAAAGGCAAATGGCTATACTTGAGGAAAGGATTCGGTTTCTGGAAGAGGAGCTCGAAAGCATTATATCACTTTCTAGTCAGGAGAAGAATGAATTACAGAAAGAGATTTCCGATCTTAAACGATCCCTTTATCACGCTAGAAAATAAATCCGACAAAAAGAGAAGAATCTTATCATTAAAGAAAATCAATTAGCCGAATTTTATGAAAGAGAATCCAAGCTCAAGGGTAGAATCAAAGAACTCACATCTTCGGGAAGAAATTCTCCTCAAATTAATAACAAGATAAATGAAATGATGGATATTATAGATCAACTCCGTAATGAGAATGATAGATTGAGGCAGTATCTCGCAGAACGGAATAATCAAATAGCTCGGCAAAAAAGGCGCATTACAGATTTACATTGTCAGAATTTTGTTATAAGATTATTGCATTATCGTGATAGGCGGGAGCTTCATACTATGCAAGACGCTTTACAAACAGCTGGTGAGACAAATAAAATTTATATGATATGCTAGAAGTACCTACTATGGAAAGGAGTTTTATGTCCGGTTCATCAACCGATGATATTCACTTACAAAGAATAGGAGAAGGTCTTGAAGAAGCATCACAACCCGGTGAAAGGCAAAGCCGTTTATATGACGAGATAATGGCAATAAATATAACACGAAGCTCAAGTGAAGAATCACAAAATTTATCAAATGAAGGTACAATTTCCTCGGGTAGTAATATATCAACCGAATATAGATTAACATCAGAAATGGCTACCATTATAGAACTGGCAAATGCTATTGACGGTTTTTTAGATAATAGAACAACAGTTAGAAATATTCTGATAGATCAAATAAAAAGGACTACACGTCAAATACGTCGCAAATATGATACTTTACAAAATGACATAAATCATGAACAACAGCAAAGACATGATATTGAAGCGGAACGAGATTTATCTATCCAGGCTTTTAATAATGAACAAGAAGAACGCCGTCGCTGGTGGGGAATAGCTCAGCAAATAGAGAGAGGGATGCAAAAGCGTATTGACATTTTATTGCTTGATAAGCTTGCACTTATTTTTAAAAACAGACGATATTTTCATCAGTTACAAAGGTGTCATGCGCATGGCAGGAATCTACAACTTAGGTTAGTACATGTCGGGATGATTTATTTCTTAGTGATTTACAGTTGGATATTAAGTGGGGTAAATGGAAAACCCGTGCTAGAAATAATGAGCAATTAATTTTGAATTTACAAGCACAAATTTTATTGTTACAGAATAATAATCAACAAAACCAAATCATGGCTTTACCAGCTGTATTTGCACTACCGGAATTATATAGGTTTGAAGAAGACCATGAAGATTTTATAGATAGATTTATATCATATATTACTTTAGCAGGTGTAGATAATGAAGCAAATATTCTTATGATATTAGATCGTGCTTTAAAAGGAGAAGTAAGAGAATGGTATCATGGAGAATTTGATAATAAAAATTGGATGTTAGATAATGTACTTGACAATTCTGCTATAGGTGCAACAATAGCCCATATTAGAGGTGCTAATGCCGGGGCTATAACAGGAGCAAACGCATCTTTTCCAAATATTCAAGGTGGATTAGCAGGCGCAGATATTATTCCTGCTCGAAATATTTCTGAAGATTCGACAATAGCAGGAGGGCATCCAACTAATGTAGCAGTAAATGCACCAAATGCCAATGCAGGGAATTCAATTGTTTTAGCAGGAATAAGATTAGGACAAAGACTTGATCATATGAAAAAGCATTTTCCAACAGCTAATAAATATGTAAAAATGTTAGAAATCGGTGCTTTAAAACAAGGTATATATGAAAGTGTACCATCATTTTGGGCAAAAATTAAAAAATATGGGGATCAACTTGGATTTACTCCAGCACAAAAGAAAACACAATTTTTATCAGGAGTTAGAAAAGATATTAGAGATGAGATTTATAGAATCGGACAAACAAAACCAATTAATGATATTATTGATAGTTTAGCAGAACTTGAATTACATCGTGGGGTATTAGAGCAACCGCCATCACCTCTTAGTTATACACCAGCCCCTCCTACTATTTCCAATAATGTACCTCAACAACAAGGGATTTCCTTGGCAGATATACAAAAATATTTCAAGATGCACAGGTACAGCAAAAAACTGAAAACCAGGCATTAGTAAGGAAAATTACAGAATTAGAATCTCAAATGGCTCAGCAATCGCAAACACCTGTTTCACAAACCGTTGAACCAATTAGACAACCAAAAGTCCACCATCAAATTTAAAAACGGATGAAGATTATCAAAACTATTATTTGAGTAAGTTTTTTTAGAGATATAGGCCTTATTACCCAGAATTATCATAAAACAATTTATCCAAATGAGCCCTTTAAAAGACCATATACTAGAATAAATAGAATGGAAGAGGAACTTAATGAAACTCGTGATGTAGTAAATGAAACTCGTGATGCAGTAAATCAACTAACAAACCATTTTCAAAAATTAACTATCAATAAAGGCAATATCGCAAAATCCAATTTAAATCGGTCTTATTTTACTACTCTTAAACCTATAAATTTAAACTCTAATTCAGCCAATGATGATAATGAGGGGGTATATGATGAAGAAAACGATATATGGTTCGATTCATCAGAAAAAAAAAACAAACATCAATAAAAAATAGCCATCCTGAAAATATGGCTAACTATTACCAAAGCTTTCACCAGCAATGCGTAAAATATGTCTATCTCGAAAGGTTCAGGAGGAGAAATCAAAGAAAAATGAATGGTTTTCATCTTTACAGTACTTGCATTGTAATATAAATGATATAACGATTTCTGATTCTTTCTTAGATCCCGGAAGTGAATTCGGAGGCTTAAATGATCCCGTGATTAATGCACTTGGATGGGAGAGTGATAAGCCATCAAATTTTTCAATACAGGGTAACTCCAAACATATTACCAAGTCATTAGGATGGTTTACAGATGTTCCGATTAGTATGAAGGATAATGATGGTAATACCGTTATAATTACGGGAAATTTTGCACGTATCGATAATGGTGAACCTGAACCAATGTTATTTTTGGGTATGTCAAATATTCGAAATATTCACGGTATTATTGACCCAAATAATAACCAGTTTCGTATAAAGATTCATGGTAAGTCTATATTATTCCAACATTCAGTAGAGCTCCAATAGCAAAGGATCTGCCAAAAGAGGAACGAGAATCTTTATCTCAGTTTTCCGATAATTCTTCTAGCCTGACTGATGAGAAGGACTTTAAAAAAAGTGTGTAGAGGCTAAGCCTCGTTGCTCTGCAATAAATTCTGAAAAAATCCTATCTTCTATTGACTCACAAGTTGATTTCATTCTTAGTTTAGAATTCTATTCCAAGATTAAAATTACATCAAATATGAAAAATCCGGAAAATAAAGCACTTATAAAAAAAGAATTCATTAGAGTACTTGATTATGCAGAATATCTTGAAAAGGAATTAATACGATTTCAAGATGATATAGAATATCAAGTCTCAGATTCTTCAGCTTGAAGTTGTTTTCTATATTCTTGTAATTTTTCTACTCTAGTTTGTGTATTACTTTCTGGTATACTATTAAGGGATTTAACCTTTTGAGAGTCTCTTTTTTTACTAGACTTTTTTGTTACCGTTTTAGCCACTGAGTGACTGCCTTTGGCAATAATTTTAGTATTAGGTGAACTATTTATAGGTAATATTTCTGGTTGAGTTGAGATAATTTCCGATTGAGATAATGAAATAGATGAATTATTATCAGAAACAACTCCAAAGGAGCTAGATTCTATATTTATTTTAGGTGGATGAAGATATATTCGACCATTTACAATATCATCATATCTTTCACTACCAATACTATAGTGATTACACATATCGCGTTTTCTGTTTGGTATCTCTTTTTCATGAGCATCTCGTATTTTTCAATTGCTTCAGAAGATAATGGAGTTGCAGTAGAATTGAGATATGTTCTAACTCGCTGTTTATTAGACTTGACCATTTTATAATACTATATTAAAAAAAATCTGATTTTAATCCAGATAAAACCCAGATAAGAATTGGACAATAATCAGATAAAATCCAGATAAGAATTGAATAATAATCAAATAAAAACCAGGCAATAATCAGATGAGAACCAGGCAATAATTAGATAAAAACCTGATAAAAAGCAAAATATAAGCATATTCAACGTGAAATATAGAGCCTTGTTCATAATTCTTGGATTTCCCCCATGGGCTTGCCTTGTAATAATTTTATAAAACTCGATACGTAATTACTGATTTCTGACCAATTAATTACCGATTTCTAACCAGTTAATTACCAATTTCCAACCAGTTTGTTTTTTATATAAAATCAGATAATTATCAAATCTTATCCAGATTCCTTTTTATATAATATCTAGATGACATCTGTACATAGCATATATAGTACCAGAGAACGTGATCTTGAATCTCAATACAACAAGTTACTTCTTGAAACAGAATTCTTCGCTAATAAATGTTCTGAATTTAAAAATGATAAAGTTCATGCAGAATCGCTATCCAACTTGCTTAGTAAAGAGATAGAAAAAACGATTGATGAGAAGGGGCATTTACTAGCCAAAATTGCTAATAAAGATATTTCTCTCGCAAAGTCCAAGACCAAGATTACTACAAAATCAAAAAAAAAAAAAAAATTCATCTCAGAAAGACTTAGAAAAAAAAGATTCTAAGATCCAGTCTCTTGAATCTGAATTAACTTCAAAGGTTAATGAGCTTGAGTGCCTAAAATCTGAGTGTATATCCCAATCCGTGATTGGTGGGGATAGCGAAAAAATATTTCTGTAATTAATAAAGATATCAAAAATCTTAGACCGTTTCTAGTACATAAAAAAAATATGGATCAAGTGACACATAATGCCAAAGAAGCTGAGCTTCGAGACTTTGACTCATCTCAGATTCCTGAAAAAATCGATACAGACATACTATCCCATAGCGATAGTGAAATTTCTCCAGTATCCCAACTACCAATAATCGATACAGAGGTCAGTCCCAAGATAGGCGATGAAATTATCGTTAATGAAAGTGATAGAGATAATATATCCCAATCCCAAGAGATAAAGAACATAACCCCCTATCTTATACAACAAAGGAATGATATTCCACCTCTGATTGAATCACGTTCTCAAATTCCAGTAGAAGGGATAGGTGCTGTTCCTATTGTGGCAAGCACTTTAATGTTGCCATTTTCCACATCTATGTTACTTACCTTGTTGGTACTTGCGATTATGTGGTTCGTAGTATTAAAACGCGAATGGGGATTGGAGAGCAAAAGTGATAAGTTGCGGGATATGTGGACCTGATAACATGGTTATCTATTTAAACCGGATTATTTTTCTGCATACTGTATATAAATGTTTATAAGTTATGGATTCCCAATCGATTATACAAAAGAACCGAAAGAAAGAACTACTTCCTATGAACTTTACCTTATGAATTTGGATGAGGCCACAAAACATGAATCATCTCGAAATGTTGGACATCCATCAATGACATGGCCTTTTAGTAAGGTATTTACTGGTAGGAGCGGTACAGGTAAGATTAATATACTCGGAAATCTTTTTGTTGGTGACAAGGGTAAATGTACAGTGTACATAAAAGACAAAAAGGAGGATCCAGATACTGTATATACGATGTGATGATTTGATAGTTTGTGGTTATCATCCTGACGAACCAAAATGGGCATTCGTTAAATACATATATGGAATAATTGCAGGTAATCCTAAAGCACCTTATTATGAGAATATTAGATTCAATTACATATCACCGGAAAAAATTCCTAGCATAAAATCATTTTCACCAGAGAGGAGTACTGTAATCATCTTTGAGGATTTATGTGTAGCTCCCGAATCCATCCAAAATAAAATTATTCCATTCTTCACACATGGGCGTCATCGAAATATAAGCCCAATCTATGTAACGCAAAAATATCACCATGTCCCAATGATTATTCGTGAAAATCTTACCCACTTAGTTATATTTGATGGGGGCAGTAGTTATCAAGACGTGTCCAAAATAATTGGACGATATACTGATGATGTTAAGAATGCATCAATGGTTATTAATAGTTACCTTCGAAAAAATGAATTTATTGTATTTGATCTTACTAGGCTGTATATTTTTCATAATAAATTTTTAGTAAACGAAAATACCTTACCATGGTAATCAATATAAAATAAATGTATTCGAAGACGAAAGCTTTGGCCACCAAATACATATAACGTACTCGGCAGACGCTTTCTGTTTTTAACAATATCCTTCACAATTTCTGCAAACATCTTCGAATTACTTGTTATTTTTTGTAGATCGCCAATTTCCTTATCATCCCTTGCTACCGGTCTCGAACCTTCCACGTAAACGAGCTGATACTTGTCAGCATCTATCATGAACCCTGCACCATCTGCACGATTACTATTGACATGTTTTTTCGATGTAATTTCTCCATACTCGTAATTTACATTTGCTATATACCATAAAAAGGCGTCAAAACATGGATGAACAAACGAATTAAGATAAGCTCCTTCAATTGTTGAAATGTTTAAAAGAGGATTTTGATCCTCGAGTGAAAATGCCTTGATACTGTGCAAAAGAAAATATTAGAACAGAATCCGAAAAAAATAGATCAATTAATGCCTAACATACAATTGCGGTAAGGTACGACGTATAGCTCTCACTACTGCAGTCATCACGGGATCATTCGGTTCAGGAGATTTTAAATCGTCGATTTTGCAGTGCCATTCTTTGGCGCTTAAATTTTCGAAAAGAATTTCACAAGAAAATCATGTACAATTTTAGGGACCAATGATTCAGTCACGGTATCCATCTCCATTAGATATGATATGCTGACGGTTTTGGAGGTTTTTTAAAAAATGGTGAGTTTAGTCGAAGATCAATTAGTTCACCATCAGGATCTTGTTCTTTATAAATCGAAAAATTTTTCTTTTGTAGCATCTGAGTAATCAATAGTGTTTCATAAAATGTCGGTTATCTGGTTGAAAAAATAAACTGTGTTAAATCTCTTAGTTAAATAGATTGTTATATTATTATTAATTACTTACCACATCATCTCGAATAATGTCCAATCCCTTATCAATTGCATTTTCGCTTTCTTGGGAGAGGCTTTCATCTGTGTGCATAGTTTCCGGTTTATTTTCTTGTGAGGAAAATTCAGGAGTACTGACATCAGAACTTGATGCTTCATCTGTTTCTTCATGATAATCTGGTATAGTAACTCTCCCACTTCTCGTTTGACGCTTGATTTAGAAACGGATGGGCAAAATGTCAATTGTTATTTTTTATCATATATGATTGTTGACGTTCAGTCATCCATTGTAAAGGAATTAATATGTTAAAAGTCACTTGATCTCACCCTTTTTGATGTCTCCTCATCGACCTGCAAGCCATGTCCACGTTTCTTGCTCCTGTTGATAAATCTATTCTGGATTACATTTATCTGGTTTGAGGCATTTTCGGTTGCTTGGACTTGTTGCCCTGCCTTTGAAAAATCAAATTTATCTTTTTCATAAAGTGAAACACCAATTTCCTTCTGAGCAACAGCTTTTTATGCACATTAGACCAGCAAATACCTCGATTTTATCCAACTTCTTTTCCGATAACTTTGTGTTCTCTTCGATTTGTTCGAGCTCGACCTTATTCCAGAATGACTTTACATACTCCCATTGAGCTTGCTGTATAAATAGAAAAGAAATATTGAAAATATAATGAAAAAATTTTATAAAAAAAGGGGTCATTGGGGGTTGTGAACGAACGAATTGCTCTTGGCACTAAGACGAGTTGCCTTTGGCCTTCACATAAACTTAGAATGGAGCCCACCGGAGATAGTCCCCATAATCTAGCCTGACGCGTTGCCAAGCCGTTTAGGTGGTTGTTTTGACTGGAGGTGCCCAACTCCTTTCCTATCCCCTCGCCACTTTCCCTTTACCTTAGATATTTCCACTTTGCTTAAGGCAGAAGCAACCCTTCTCCACTTTCCATTTGTAGTCGCAACGCATGAAATAAATTTTGATATAAGAGTATGTTCGACCGACTTATTAAACGTGAAATTATCTTTTGTTCGATGAAATGTTAAGATGGAGAGAATATTGAACCTTTCGAAATTCAGAGCCGTTTCCCAGCCCTCAAACTATAAATATAATTTAGAAAATATTCACGACAAGAAACATTTAATCATTAAACCTCACATTTTTTTCGAGATTGGTAAACATGGTGAAGCTCTAAAATATCGTAGGCCACTATAATGATCTTTCAATATCAGATGTAATCGAAATAACAGTATAAATAATCAAATTCGCGTGAGTAACACATTCACATGATACTGCATATAAACCCTCTGGTATCACGTGCAGAAGGGTCGGAATTATGCTTGATGTCGGTGTCTTGCTTAGTGATACGTGAAAAATAAAACGTGGCACCAATGAACAAGTAAATGGAAATTTTCTCACTAGGTCGGCGAAATCAAAAAATGGCACGAATGTGGGGGAGGCGTCATAACATATAAACAAATAAACAAACCTTAATCGATGGAGTAAAGGTATTTTTTTCTCCGCCTTTTTATATAAAAAACCACAGATCAAAATTTATTTATAGACTTGGACGGTAAAGGACCAGAAATTGCCAGAACTTTTTATTGCAAAGCAGGCCTATAGGGACGACTCAAAGAGTCATGGGTAGCCCCCACGCTTTACGTCAATTTTTACTACAATAGCACAATGAAATATGAAGTTAGTATTAATACAGTATCATCATCTCCGATAATAATTCTAAACGTGGGTATTAACCTCCGTGAATACACTGACTCAAAAAATTGTCCCAATAATTAAAACTTTTTTGTTTATAGCGTATATCTTTTGAGCGACTGATT